CCTTGTTTGCATCGATGTGTTCCTGTGAGGCACTGGTGTTCTGTTACACGCAATGACTGCTGGACTTCTCTGCTCAGAAAATCAAGTCAAGAAAATAGATAATTTGATATTTTGTATTCTGGCAATTATAGTACTTGGATAGAAATCCATATCAGCAGGTCAGAGCTGGACAAATATCCTAAATCAGTACTGGTCCTTAAAACGGGAATTGATTCATCTCAATTAGTTACTTGACACGAACTAAACCCATTCTAGAGTCAAACAGTCTTTATGGTCATTATGCAAGCACATAGCAACACTTTGATACTTATTTGCCACAAGCACTTAACAAACATAGAAAAACGAATCATAAAAAGTTGGGAGTAGAAAAACCTGTTAGCAGCAATGAAATTATAAAATGAGTAGTAGCAGTAAATGGGACGTACAGTAAGTGCAGAGCAGCTCATCTTACTGATTAAAGCATGGTATTGTGTTCGTCCCTGCAGGGGTCCAGTGGGTCTGATTGTGTCTGCAGGGAGACCATGACTGCTGGGTTGGTACAAGTCTGCAGGAGAGAAGATGGGATTTTATAGCTCTGGAGAAAAGTTGTCTCTCAGTCTTGTACGTATTTTTATGTTTCTGCACCGTTTTATCCAAGGACAGAGGTAAAGTCCCGTCCAAGAGGAGCCTTTGTTGGGCATTCCTCATCAGATGGGACAAGTTCAGAGACCGGGCCAGATCAGATCAGATGTGATGCGGATTCCCAGGAACCTGATGTTCACATGCTGACCCGTCTCCCCATGTATGAGAGGAGCGTGTTCTGTTTTCTTGGATCTCCTTTAAACTGATGACTGTCCAGTCCATGTAATCACTGAGGCTGGTGGTGGCTGATTTCTTTGGGACACGGGTCCAATAATGGAGGATCTGAGACCGGCAGGGGCAAAAAAAGCTGGAGGGACAGACTCCTGCCAGCTGGTCACGGCATACTTTCAGGGTTTTACCTGAGACCCTGTCTGGTCCAGCAGATCCTTCTAAGAGTGGAACTTACTTGATGTTGTTGTAGGACAGGGAGCTCATCATGCTGCTCCATCAGCTGTTAGAGGGTTTCTGTCTCTTCACACGTGTAAACTGTGCAAAATAAACTATTCATGGTGTGAGGGATGGTGAAGTCATGGCTGGCTGCTGTGCTACTTATCTGTTATATTCAAGATACTTATGATGACAATCTTTTTGTGAACCATAATGTTGTACAGAGGTAGATGTATGAAGCAAAAGCTGTTAGCGCTCTTGTGTAAAAGATTAAAGATAATCAGGAATGAAAAATTATTCTTAGTTCAATTTTATTCCAATCATATAAACTTAGCACAAGGTAATTTGGGTTAGGGTGATTATTTCTTTGTTGTAACAATGCTTCTTGCCACAAAATGTTATACAGTTAGAAAACCTGTTTATTTCCCCTAAATGGTGCCACATTTGTTTAAAACAATGCATTTGTGGACTGAGCAGCAGTTTTTTTTAATGAAAAAGCTATAAATATACATAAATATAAAACAACTTTTTTATGCTTTTGACACTCRTTTGGTGTTCTTTTATTGGATTGGATCATTTAAGTCTGAAGAAATAAGACATGTTGGCAATTTATGAAGATATTTAACCAGTTTTGGCCTCAGTAGCATGAGGAGGAACCATACACTGCCACAACCGCCAGACACACCCTGCTGCTTGGCGGCATCCCATTCTCAAACAGCACGTGTCCAACACGTTCCTTCAAAATTCTGGAGGTAGTCTCTGAGGTGAGCAATTTCATGCTCAAGTATGATTGATCCCAGACTGTGGAAATATGGGATAGTCGTTGGTTGCTCACAGGTGCTGCCAAGAATTAATAGCAAAGTAAGTTGTTTGGCAAGAGAAGATTTGGCCCGCAACTCTGCTGCCCAGCACTTAATTGCACTTTTTTTTTTACAAATGTGGATTTATTTTAGGGACAAGAACCTGGCATTTCAACTGTATAAACTTTAATGCAAATAAATAATATTATAACAAAGAACTAGCCAACTAAACACAAATGTATTTAAGTTTTGTGGTGATAAACAGATAATTATGACTTTCTGAACAAGATCACTCAGTCATTGTTGGGTGATGAGGCCTTATTCACTCAACTGTAAACCCACAAAGCTGTGATTTTGCTGTGTTCTCCGTCTTTGTTTCCGACTGTCTAAAACTTAACTTGAATGTTTTATTTGCAGCTCTTTTCTTGATTATGTAATTACAAGCAACGAGAATAGTTTGCCTTCACTTTTGAAGCCTTTTCTGTTTTAATAAGTGCATCTGTCCTTTCTATTTTCTAACGATCAGTCTGGTCTGTCTGTTTCTGACTGTGGGACGCCACAGGTTGTTTTTCTATTTGTTGGCTTTTGGTTGCACGATTCTTCATCCATCGTTCTTCCATGTCACAGATACCTAACTGTGTAAACGTTCACAGCAGCAAGTACTAACTGGATGTATCTGTTGAAGCTATAAATAAGAAAGTTCTGTGTTTAATGGGTTGATATGGAGAAATCACTGTACAATATGAATTTGTATTTATTGTGGGAAAAGAAAAAATAATGTGATGGTTTGTAAATGCATTGATGACGGATATTTGAATAAGTTAATGAAAATTTGAAATTTCTAAAGATGGTTAAGTTGGTGACAAACTGTAGCACCATTTATTTATTCATTTATTTATTTTTTATTTATTTTAGTTTCAGAACTGGAGCTTAAAGGAAATAATTATGTGAGTAATACTCGTTGGGTATTTTGAGAGACTACACCGAAGCATGCACAGTCCTTATGTTTCTAGTTTTATGTGTGTGTATTACACATTTGTGTACAGATTTCTGAAAGGTACAGTTATAAAAAAAATAAATAAAACTGAGAACGGGTTCCTTAACACTCAGGCTGTGCTACATCTCGCCATAACATACAGCTGTTTATGAATCTCAATAAAAAAAACTCACTTTGTTCATGTGTGTTCAGAGTGTAGACTTATTGTAACAACAGACATGTGGAACGTCAATCTAGAATTACTTGTTGAAAAAAATACATTACTTGCAATATTGCTGCTAAAACTAGCCTTTCCTCTTGTTGGTTCTGAATATTAAGATTTGTTTAGTTTTTTTCCCCCAAACTTTATTCATTTCTTTAAAAAATGAAATAAATTTATCTACAATAAAAATACAAATCACAAATAAAATGAAAGGAAGAAGAAGAAAAAAAATCTTATAGTACCTGCGCCTTTTTCTTCCCAAAATTAAACTTTTAAACAACAATAATCTGCAAATAAGAAAAACTAAACTAAAACAACCTCACATCCTTGTTGAACAACATTTCGCATGAATACACATTATATTGTTTCATATTTATTTAACAAAATGACTTTTATCATTCAACATAAATATTGATCTGGCATTTTTGACATCACTCTCCATGTTCATATTCCTTGTATCGAAGTACATCGATTCGCTCCCCCAAACTAGTTCAAAATCCAGGTTTCACAAACATCTCTACCCCCTTCAGATTATAACTTTCTTAAAATTTAAGTGGTTGTTTAAAGGTAATATACATTTGTGGGCCTTACATTAAACCTGTAAAATATTATTTTTTTATTATTTATTTTATATTAAGTTTATTTTCTTCAAAGATCTATTGAATATTAGTCAGCCCAATATTTTTTCAAATGGAATGTGGTATGAGTGGTACAACGTTTAAATTACGGCCATAATTATGACTTCTAAACTCATGATTTTGAAAATTATAATTAACATTTTTAAACTTATAATTAAGACTTTGAAGCTCATACTTTGTTACTGTACTTAAGTAGAACTTTTGGGTATCTGTACTTTACTTGAGTAACTATTTTTCAGCCTACTTTTTACTGCTACTTCTTACATTTTTACACAATTATCTGTACTTTTTACTCCTTACATTTTTAAAAAAGGCAAGAAGTAGAAAGTCGTTACTTTTATTTCATTTTTGGTTGTTTTCATTTCAGCTTCTTATTGTAAAAAATAAGTACTATTCATATAAACTGTGCCTCCTAGATAGAGTGAATTTAATTGTGGTTGAATGAGAAGTAATTAGTATTAGTTTGTACATAAAAAAAATCATGTCGTCACACTCCAGCAGGACATAATCATTAAAATAAAAGAACTGTACTTAAGAAGTTTGTATTTCATGAATTATATTATTGCATTTGGCCTGCAGCCCTTGGATAGATTTTCATTTTGGAGAAAAGATTTGTGCACCCTTGATATATGTATATAAACTGAACTAGACTTGTGCATCCTGAATTTGACAAATTAATTATTTTAATATGACAGTCATTTCTGCATTTTTTTAGGGAGGTCACATCCTAATAAATGTCATTACAGAAAATCTAACTGCTCATTTTAAATCAATACTTTTACTTTTAATACTTAAGTACAAAAAATATCAGATACTTTAAGACNACAGAAAATCTAACTGCTCATTTTAAATCAATACTTTTACTTTTAATACTTAAGTACAAAAAATATCAGATACTTTAAGACTTTTACTCAAGTAATATTCCTAAAGTCGTCTTTAACTTTTACCAAAGTATTTTTTTTCGGTAAGATACTTGCACTTTTACTCAAATATCACTTTGTGGTACTTAAACAACTCTGCATAACTGTGATTTTAAAGTCGAAATTATGTATTATTTAATATGACATAGGCCTACTATTTGACAAATTATTTGTTTGATGTGGTGGAATTAGGCTTACATAAAAATCCACTGCAGAGGAACCAAACTTTGTATTGGCTATGTATGAATGAATGAATGAATGAATGAATGAATAAATAAATAAATAAATAAATAAAACATCTAATCGTCCTAACAGGTGTAATTGAAGCAGCCTGTAGGTGTGGTTGTTCGCTGCGCCCTCTACCTGTGATGAGCGGAACTGTCTTCTTCCTCTTTTATTTTTTTTACTCCGTAGTGTCACGTGACACCAGCAGCGGCTTCGAACGGTTGAGTCCGGGGCTGCACGAGCCTCATCCTCCTCATCACAAACACCACCACAAAGCAGCACCGCAGCGGCAGCGAGAACCGAGCGAACCACCGGAGCCACCGGGAGGGGGCCTTCATCGATTGTAGGAGCCGGGCGCCATGGCGGGCCCCCGCTAAAAAGATTTACCCAGATTTATCGTCTTTGTTCTCCCTCCACGCCTCGCTGTGTCCGCCGAGCAGAGAACAGCTTCTCCTCTTTATCGAGCGGAGCAGCGGGTGGAAGAGAGSAGCTAGAAGCTGCTACAGCGGCGGAGGAGTAAGGCAGCAGTTTTTGCACGGCGGGGGGGAGGAGGTGTTTTCCACCGTAACATCCCGAATGGCGGACCGCGAGGCGTCGCCGATACCGTTGGAGATCCGAGCCCGGCTGGCGGAGCTGGAGCTGGAGCTGTCAGAAGGTAAGACGTTTATTTAGAAAACAATAAGGGAGCCGCCAGTGGGGGGAAAGCGCCATATATCTTCCCTTCCTCTTTTTTTTTCTTCCCTTTTTTTTCATCACCATCCACCGGATCCACACTACTACTAACGGAATCTGAGCGTTCATTCCTGCGGGGCCCTCATCCTCCTCTCTACACCTCCCTCCTGCTCCTCCCATCCAGATGTTTGTCAGCCGGGAGAACCGGGCCCGAGCAGCTCAGTCATGTTGGCGGAGGGAGGATGAGGGCAGAGCCGGGGAGCAGGCTGCGGTGTTCGGCCGCGGCTCTTTGTCTCAGCGGCGGTGCGGTTTTTTCTTTTATTTATTTTTTTATTAATATTATTTTAAAGAGAACACCGGCCTGTTCTGGTGGGTTTAGGTCTGACAACGGAGTCGAGATGTGACCTTGAGATGTTGACACAATCATACCTGTGTGTGTGTGTGTGTGTGTGTGTGTGTGTGTGTGTGTGTGTGTGTGTGTGTGTGTGTGTGTTTGTGTG